CCCCAAAACCCCAAAACCCCAAAACCCCAAAACCCCAAAACCCCAAAACCCCTATTTGTATAAGAACGGTTGAAATTTTATCAATTTTTTAGGATTTTAGAAGCGCCATATTATCTGTGCCTGCTGCTAGGCTTTGAATAAGAAGGATTTTGAGGAAGAGTGTACGGACAACTAGATGAGTTCTGGAAACTTGAGAACATGATCGTTCGACGAGGAGTTGGAGATGCTTTAGAGGTCGGAACTGTACTTTTAGATTTGCTATTCTCTAAAAATGACAAGCAATTCATACTCAACTGAATGAGAGGAGTCTTTGTGGGACGAATCTTATGAGAAGAGTCGTTGATCTTACTTCTTTGACTCATACGGTGAGTTTTAGGCTTTTTACAATATGTCCTTGAATTTATCTTCTAAAGATTACATCCTCATTACCTGGTAGTACGAACTTTTGGGGTTTCAACCTGGGCTTGACTTTTCTATCACCAAACTTTTTGCTCGCAGTCTAGTAGAGGCTATCTGGAGGGCTTTCTTGTCGAACTTCTTGAGTAGCTTATTTAGACTTATCCTTCTTGAACTTAATAGTGTTTTCCAGAATATTAATGCGATCTTTATTTAAAAATAAGAGTTACCTTTCATATTATTTAGGTAGAAATCAGTTGTAATTTTATATTTTAGGTGATCTTTCAAGTAATTATTAAACTGTTGGTGATGCTGAGTCTTAGACAGCTTCGAATCATCCTTTACAAATGTAGAAAAGCGTAAGATAAGGTTCTGAGTCTCTGACTCTAATTTTGATTCGTTACTCTCATTTGTGGCTCTGTTGTCAAATGTAGACTCAACCTTGAAATTTGAAGAAGAAAAATCATTCTCCTTGAATTTTCTGAAATTATTTAGAATAAATTACTTTGAAGATTTGCTGTACTTCGGAAGTTCGAGATCTGGAAGAGACTGATTAAACTTCTTATAACTAGAGTGTTAGACCTTCTATTACAATTTAGATTTTGTCTTGGTATGCTCCATCAACCTCTCCATTTTCCTTGAGTTGAGCCTTCTTTTAGATTGCAAGTTATCTACTCATCGATGGGTCTGCTTCCGAAGATATGAAATATCCGTCTCTGGTTTAATGATTTTGTTAGATTCGTTAAATGTCTCTACAATTGAGTTATATTCTTGTGAGTCAGAGAGACTGTTAGCCGAAATCTCGTCAGTCTGCTTAGAGGCTTCCTTTTGGCTTCTATTATCAATTTTATTCTTCAATTGCTAGAGATTTATATTGAATTCTTACAGAACTTAGTGCTTTAATAGTACTGATCGATTTAGTCTTGTCGCTTAAATCTTGAGGAATGTTATTTTCAGGAGGCATGTTCATAATTTTAGGATGATTGGTTCCAAGAATCAAGGATTTCTTTCTGACAACCTTCTTCTCTACATCATTGCTTTCTTTTACTTTCCCTTTAAGAAAGTATGGCTTCTTTGAATGAAAATATTTATTAAATTGATCAACTTTTTCCTTCATCAGAATTAATTTTTGAGTGAAATCATTATGGTATCCCATGATAGGGTATTCATACACTCTGATTTCTACAGATAAGTGAGAAAGAAGACCGATGGCGGTTAAGACATACCTTCATCCGACATTCTTTTTCTGGCTCTTTTGGCAGAATGAGATCTCTTGCTCTCATAATTTCTTGATAAAGCCTCTGGGTTTGTGCAATAATGAGACCATAAATTTTCAGCAGAAATTCAAAAAATATCTGGTTTTTCAATTGGCTCTTGGATCGACAAGGATTTGTATTTCTGTTTCTCTGGCGACTGAGGTTTTGATTTGAAATTCCGAGGTTTACTTTTAACTTTCTATAAAGTCCTTATATATCACATAAATCAGCCGATAAAATAACTGTAAATACACAAAATCAGGCTAATTGAGGCACCATGAATAAACTTATGAGCTAGAGCATAACTCTAATTGAAATGCTTATCATGATTTCATAATTTAGTTATCTACATATTAATGAGTAGTACCATGATATCAATTTTTATAAAATTTTAAGGGGTTTTGGGGTTTTGGGGTTTTGGGGTTTTGGGGTTTTGGGG